ATCACTGCAACCACCCTTGATATCCGACGAGGCCTGTCAGAAGCCTGTATCGACATTCGCACTTTGGGGCTGGTCCACATGTATGCGCTTCGACCCAGCTTGTTGCACGTGAAGCATCCTTTGACATGAACAAGAAGTATGATGTTGATAGAGAGCATTAATAATCACTGTAGGTGTTTCTAGATACTGTTGCCCCGATATCTCTTCTGGAAATCCACAACACGAGCCTGCATTCTGGGTTTTGGCACATATGTTCCCTCATCACCGGTGTTTCCTGATCCATTTATTCCTTCACACTGTCGTAAATCCCCAGTCAACAGATCCTCATAATGTAAATTCGAATCCGCAGTATCACAGTATGCAAACTTTCCCGATACATCGCTTGTACCCCTTCTTATGTTTTAGGTACGCGGAGTAGCCTGAATCCGACAAACCACAGGGGGATCCCAGAAACTCTTGGACACTTTACAAGCATGATCAGAAAGATCCAGGAGAGTTCTGGTATCTGTGGGGAACATCTCTGTGGTAGCCATCCGTTCGTGGTATCTTGAAAGGCACTTGTCGGACATCTCTTTCCGTTGCGATCTCGCTGCGCACAAAACACCTTCTTGCAGCTTAAAGAAATTCTTGATCCAAACTGTAAGATGGGTGTGCACTGACTTTCGGCCTTGTTCTTCAAATGCTGCTGCCATCGCCAACACTTCCCCAAAAAGTCCCGGCTCTTCTGTAGCACAGTTGTTATGGCGGTCCCATCCTATAACTTCTTCACATAGAATGTCGAACAACATATCGAAATGGAGTGCTCCTAGTGCTGGAAATCTAACCGAAGCTGTCTCCGTTCTTTGCTTCGTTCTTGAAGAATCTCCTCGCTTGCATCTTCCCAATCACCGTCAGGCCCTTCCACTTCTTTCCCGCTTAGTACTTCCATTAGCACACTGTTTTCGTCATCAAAGCTCACTGTCAAGAATACAGTACCCGTGCCAAAGTATGGGTTCATTGATTCAGCGGTACCTCTAGCCAACTTGGCTGCTTCATTTGTGTGGGGCAGTGCTTTGCTGATAGCATTTACGGCATTCAGTATGCACTTGCTTGAAGTAGACCCGGCTTGATAATTCCCTGCTCTTCGACTTGATATAGCCCTAGACACGTCATCTCCATCTAGACCTTCCGCAATTGCCTTTGCAGAAAACTTCCCCTTCAACTGAAGTCGGGCTCTCTTGAAAAGTCGGATTTTTGTCCCAATACTATACACAACCAACTGGAACATAGGTGAATGAAATTCCGGTTTGGGACAGCTGACAAAAGTGCGCCAGGAAGTCTTCTGTGTTCGTCCAGTTCCTCCAACATCCGTCCTCCATGAGTCTGAAATCCTTCATACTTCCGACGCCATATGGGAAGTTCAGCAAACACGACTGAATCAAGGCATCAGAATCCGTCCTTGTAAAAAAGCCTTTGTAGGATCATGCTGGAGCTGTAAATCGAACCCCTTCTCTTGCATCTCCTGGACAAATGTCTTGAACTCGCTCATGTTATCGAATCCACCATTGGTCTCAGTAGCTAGACCATCCGGAAAGTAGCAGCTGAAAAGTTCGTGTTGCTCCACATTCGAATTCTCAGATTCGACTTCTTTACTGCCATCCACTATCACAGGTTGCACACCCTCTAACTCTCTGCGGTACGCATCAAGATCGATGTGGTTCCAGCTCCGGTTTTTCTGTACAAGCCATTCCATAGCAGCCATGATCTTGTCTGTACGAATACTCCGAGTTTCCTTCTTTTTCTGGTCTGTCTTCATCTTCCCTGATAGCAATATCACGACATTCTTGTTCAGGCCCATTGCTTCTAGATGGGCCGTTGCACGAACAATCACATTGTAGTCTACCCCCATAAAGGTCATGATCCCCCTCAAAGTTTTCATCCTTCTGCCAACATAGGAAAAACAGTAACCGTAAGATTCACTGGCGTAATAAAGGCTATCTCGAATTCTGTTAATTCCTTGAGAATATCAGGTGCACATCCAACAAAGGTGCTGTTGACAATAGCATATAGTTGCGTTTTAGGCTTCTCCTTCTTCAGATTCCCGTGACATCCTTTGCAACAGGATATGCCACATTTCCGACCGTTGCGCATTTTCCCGTAAAATCCACGTGGTGAAAGCGACAGTTCACCAAGCCATCTACGACATCCCTTCAGAACCCCAGCAGGGATCCCAAAAGCGGTACATCTTCAACAGCTTCAACAAAGGTACTCCGGATGATCTTGTAAGACTTTGTCCCAACTTAGATGTTCTTGAACCTTCTTAAACTGATCGAAGAACAACCATTCCACATGGTTTTCATGCATGATGGTTTCATCGCATACCGAGCAGACATAGGGATTAAACGTCTTGGTCAATGGATACATCATCATCAGATTGTCATAACGACGGTTGATGTTAGCCAGAACGCACTCCACGGTCTTGACATCGCCGATAATTCAAAATAGCCAAAAGTTGGACATGGACTGGAAGAAGCTGCCACCCAGAAGAAAAGAAAGCCCCACGAAGCACTGCATGTAGAGGATCACATCCTGCCATTAGGAATTTGTGAGAACGAAGCCTATCTTCCACAGTTCTCTTCGAACAGACTTTCGTGTTTGCATCGTGGTAACTCGAAGCAAATTGTACTCTATTACTATACTCCGATCCAATTTTCCGATAGATACACTGACTTAACATGCTAGGCATCCACGCGATCTACACACCAACCACATATTGAAAACAGCGTGACAAATTCTTTATTCTATTTCAGCGAAACCAGTCGCACCACGATTCTTAATCTGTCATGTTGATCGATAAGTAAATCCCACGTCTTTAATTTACATCCGCGCCCCGCTCCCATCTCGCTTGTATTTCACTTAGATGAAATATACCCCGAAAATCAAAAATGGTAGGGCCCGCTCTACTCATCTGGTGGATAAGATAAAATATCTTATATGCACCGTTCCAAATACCCTAAATCCCTCCGGCAGCAATTGGGGATTTCACACAACTCCAATCACACGTGTTCTTATGTGTCTACGTACGTCCCTAAAATAATTCAAATCGAATCTTTCCACGAAAACTTGGGATTTCTAGCGAAGGTATCGTGCACGACTTCCGCTGCAACGCCCCTTCCCCCTTCGTTACAAGTGTACTGTTTCCCTATAGATTACAAGCCAAGCTACACGATCTCCGCTCAATCGTATCAGCGAATACACTCAGGCGAAGACATCCCGCTTTCTATATATACTTTCTTTGCATTGAAAATTTATATATGCAACCATTCCTATCGCATCGATCATACTTGAAACAGTCACAAAATGGTTCAGCAAAACCTCAAACATCCCTCATCCTACCTAGCAGCCAACCCATCAGCCATCTCTCCTGCCCACTGAAGTACTTTCTATTTTACCTTCTTCTGTTTGACAAATGTTTTGCCTTTCAACATGGCCACCTCACCTTCCTCTTTCGGACTTCAAGTTTTCAGAACTCCTTCACCATTTCTTCCCAAACACCCGACTTCAACACACGTCGTCGCAATCGAACCCCTACTTCCGCGGGTATCAACAGCAAGAAAAAAAAGGCCGGCGGCAACAAGCAAGAGGTCCTTTCAATCTCCTGTGAGTTCCACGCTGTAATTCCCAGCAACCTCAAGGAAGACGAAGAATACCCACTTCCCCGGAATGTTCCTCAAGTTCACAGGCTTTGTTGAAAAAAAGCTACCGGGTGTATGTACAACCGACGCAAAGAACACTCCGTCAACGGCGTTAAACCCAAAGACATGATGGCCTTTGTTCAGCCCTCGCTGACAAGCAATGATCGAGTGGGTATTCAAATTGGTGGACCCGCTTCTGCTGATGGGGAAAAACTCCTTATGTACGAGGCCAACAACGGTACTCTTATGACCAAAGAGGCTTTGTTTTCATGTGCCCCAGAGGTGAATGTTGACGGACAAACTGGTAAACGTTTCTTACCCCAGATCCCACCCAGAAATGGGCCTTGAAGTGGTTCAATGAACCCTTTAACGGCCTACATGCAATACGTGTACGACCCGGCAAAGAAGGATGAACCTACCTAGTTCTCGACGAACAGGACAAGTGGTACAAGGTCCATGACACCTGGAGTGAGCTGATCACCCACTCGACATCATGACTCACCTTGTGAGGATTCTTGGATCGATCAAGGCGAATACCGCACTGTATCCGAATTCCTCAAGGACGACAAGGGCCAGGTGTACTCTATTTGGCCTCGTGGTCAACTCCCGGCTTCAGTCTTACGTCCGTTGATTTCACCGAAACAACCTTGGATGCATCGGATTTCGGTCGCATGCGGGCCATCCTGGTGCCCGTCGCAACATTATTAAAAGCCACTACGCACACACACCATCCCCCCCCCCCTCTACTCCACCATTCGCCTTCAAGCTGCCACACTAGCCCTTCCCCATGGTTTTCACTACCCCCCGGCATGAATTTGAGGCTTTCTTGGGAACTCTTCTCGAAAAGCACCAGCAGGAGAACGGTGGTAAGTCTCCTACAGTAGCTTCCCGTATAAATCCCCCGTGCCCTCACTTTCAAATCCTAATACTGGACCTCCCATTTATTCGCAAACCATTCCCAGTTCCAATGCAACCAAATACGTCATCTCCCGTCCCACCTGTTCCACAACCACGTCGGCCAAAGTTCACCTCGAATAGTCAGAATGATGACACTCCACAAGGTATGAAGAAAGCTGCCGAACTTGCTCACGATCCTATTACCGAATACCCCAGTTCCGACGAAGAGCGGGAAACAGAGGGAAAAGAAGACACCAAGCTCCCAGCGGAAGCGAGCCAACCCTCCACTTAACACACGTTGACTTCAAAATTGCAAAACCTAAACCCTAAATATAGGCCACATGATTCATTCGATTCTATTCACCATTATCCTGTATTAGTAAACAAGTTAAACTAGTACTGGAAACGGAGACGACCCAGGGTTCATATGAATTAATTGTCATCACCAGCATCCAGCAACACGCAGAGCCAGCGAGCAGCAAGCAACAAAGAGCACAGCAGCAATCACAGGAACCACCACACCAAACAACGTACTCCCGTCGTTACACTCTTTGTAACGCATGACAACGCTCCCATTCAAGAGCAATCAGCGCAAGTGAGAAAACAACTTCATTCGTAGATCATGATCAGGCGAAACAGCGACGGTCGAGATGATGATTCTGGCGACAACAACAACAACAATAATAATAACAACAATGGCAACAACGAACAACCACGCCGTGCTCCGTCCGCGCTGCACAATCGCTTGTTGAATCAGCAGAGGAGCAACATTTTGCTGCAGGTTCTGTTTCATCACATGCTGAACAGTCGTCGTCGCCGCGAAGAAGAAGAAGCCTTGGCATCGAGTCCGCCGCCGTTGCCGGACCGTGACATGCCCATTTTGAGCCACCACGAAGCGGAGACCACAAATGCCATGTGTCGATTCTGTTTTGAAGGGTCCGTGGAACAAGAGCAAGAACAAGCAGAGGATACTGGCAAAGATCGCAATGCTCTGGTGGCTCCCTGCAATTGTGATGGTGGATCTCGGTGGGTCCATTTGGAATGTTTGCGACAATGGCAACGCATGCAGACACGCAGTCTCTCCAGTTCCAATGTTAATGCGAATACAACAACCTACACGTCGGCGGGGTACATTTGCAACGTTTGCAACAGTCCCTATTTGAGCCGTCCACCGGCGGTTCGATCCGTGCGACGCAATTTGTTAAAGAGGGGAACTCTGCTCGTGTCGAGACCCAATACTTTGGGGCGAACCTTTCAAAATACGGTCGTCTTGCTATTGACCGATGTGTGTGGAAGTCCCCAGGGCGCTTTTGGATTGATTGTCAATTCGCCGTTGCAGCAGGAACCACAAAATTTGGTATTGTCAACACCGCCATCATCACCACCGCTCCATCAAAGTAGTATTAATGAGTCCTCCAGTCCGACAGAACAAAATTCCAACAACAACAACAACAACAACAACAATGCAATCATTGAATGGAGGCGTGGAGGACCCGTATGTGGTGGAAGACTTGGTGTGGTTCATTACACAGTTTTACACACGTACCCTCCAACCATCCACCCGGATGATGAGGATGTCCTGGATGTGGATATTGACGAAGAGTATTTCGAGGAAAATGAAACTTATGATGACAACGAGGATGCTGTCGCCGATAGTGACGACGACGAGCAGGATTTGGAAGCAGGCCTGACCGAAATGGCTCTGCAAGAAGTGGACGAACAATCTGCCAGGGACGAAAATGAAACGGTGGACGACGATGACGAGGAAGTTGACGATATTGACGATCTCGGTGAAAACGACGACTCGTTGTGTGCTCCCATGTCTCTCCCCGTCTTTGATATCACGGACGCCGATACCATTTCACGACCGTTGCAGTTTGTCGCCTCTCCAGAGACATCGACGCCCTGCACCTTTTCGGAAGACAACCTTGGCAACACCGTACAACGGATAGTACTTGACGGTCAAGAGGAACTACCCGATCATGATGACACGACAACGACAAGCAGCAACAACAACAATGATACAGCCCAGGCACCACACAAGGTCATTGTGTTTTCGGGATACTGCAAGTGGCGTGCCGGGCAGCTAGAGCGGGAAATTCAAAGAGAGGTCTGGGATGTTTGCATTGATGCCACACCCGAGGATATTCTGCGACACCATGATTCTGGGTTCTGGGAAGAAATTAGTGAAAGCAATCGACTTCTCTCGTGGCAGCGGCTCATTGAAGAAGAAGGGGGCGATGAGTAGTCCCTCTAGTCTACAAGCCACACAACACTTTGCAAGCTCCATCCTCTCTGAATTTTTCCCTCTTTATTCTCAACTCCTCCTCCTTTATTCTCAAACTCCTCCATCTTTATGCCCAACTCCTTCATCTCCCACGAGTACGGTAACTGACAAGCTTCGGCCACATCGGTACCGCTATCTTCTGTATATTTCATTTCTAGATACCAGCCAGCTTTTTAAAATTGAATAGATAACTTATATGATTATTCGATTCGAACAGAGTAACAAACTGGCAGTCCTTGGAGCAGCAGCCCGTCAACGGAATTGGCTGGTTTAGTGCTTTTGGCGGTTGTCGCTTGGTAGGGTACGGTACTAGCTAGCTAGTAGGTCCACGAGCAGGTCCTGGAGTTGGTCTAGGTTCGGGCCAGCTGTAGGCCAGGAGATCGACATGATGCGCCTTGAGGTAAATTCAAGCAACCTTCTAATTTGAAGCTGATCAGAGCGCCCAGCAGAGGTGCTTGGGGGGTTCCTGAGGTGCATCCGAATCGAACCGCATCAGAATCAAATCTATCTATAGAAGCTTTGAAGCTTGGAGTTCCCCCTTCAGCGCCAGGATCAAGGCCAATATTCGACACGTAGCAGAACAGAAACCTTCAACGTGTCGTTATGCAATGGCGTGCCTTTCTCTAAGAACTTCCAGGTTTTCCTAAACTGGGCACTGACAACACCGACGTATCTGAGTCACTGACCCACACCCGTCTCCATCGTTGTTGTGTGATGGCTACGACCGCTAACTCAGACCAACGCTGGAACTGACCTACTTCATTACGTGGCTGGGAAGCGCTGGGAACGAACGTCATACCTGGTACATGTACTGGTGTACTGGTAGTCAATGTCATTGCCACGAGTTATTTAGTAACCCGATAATCGCGTTTGCGTAGTAGAACCTCCACGTAACAAAATTGAGGGGGTTTGAGAATTCTCACTACTAGCTAGCAAAGCACGATTGAGCCGAACGCTTTTTACAAAGTGCCACCGATACTTGACTTGGTGTGCATGGTGTTGATGAAGAGAGTGTTATTGATGACACCACAGCTGTCTGCGGTCAGCAGCCAACAACATGCCGATTTTCGGAGTCATCGGCATTGATTGGTGAGAACTCAGTTTCAGTGAGTGCTCACAAAAAGCAAAATAGTATCCAATACTGACGAAGGAAAACTTTCGCAGACGACTTATTGAAAACCATGGCCGTACTAGACCTTACATCTGCACCGATGGTGAGTAGCCTTGGTGTAGAAGAAATAGTGTTGGCCGATGTTTTATCTTGGTGTCTAACACTTGTCCTCGCTTGATTCATTTTCAGCCCGCAAACAACTCTGTTGTGGTTGGCATGGATGCTGTAACCAAGGATGATACCCCCTCCAGCAGCGCTCCCTGCCAGGGTCTCCGACGAAACCACAGCAACTTGACATTGGTTTCACTTGCCTCAGACATTTCCGACACCTCGGACTCTTCTCAATCCACAAGCTCTAGCAGTAGTAGCGAAGCACCAAAGCGTCGCCGACGCACACGCAACAAACGAAAAAAGCAAAAGAAGGAGCCCGAGGATTTGGTCGCGAAAGCACTTGCCCTCACGGAAATTTCTGAAGAAGAAAAAGCAAAATATGTTGCTCTTGACTGTGAAATGGTGGGAGCTGGATACAAGGGCAAGCATTCCGTCCTGGCCCGTGTTACCATGGTGGACTGGAACCACAATGTAGTCCTGGATGAATTTGTCACACCCCATTGCCCAGTCACCGACTACCGCACCTTTGTCTCAGGGATTACTGAAGAGCTACTCGCTGAAGCCAACACTATTGACATTCATACCTGCCGTCAAAAAGTGTTCAATGTTTTGGAAGGCAAGGTTTTGGTTGGCCACGGATTGAAGTCAGATATGCGAGCTCTAGGCATTCAGCTTCCTTGGTATGCTGTTCGAGACACTGCCAAATACGAGCCATTTATGAAAGCTCGATTTGATGATGGTGTTCTCTGGCCTCAGAGTCTCAAGACACTGGCTAAGAATAGACTTCGCCGTGATATTCAAGTCCCTGGTGAAGCTCACTGTCCTGTCGAAGATGCTGCCACCGCAATGGATCTCTACAAGATTGCCTGCAGAAAGTGGGAACCTGCCATGGAGTACAAGCTGAGCAAGACTCGTGAAATGGAACAAGGCAAGCAATAAAACCAATTGAGCAACAGCAACAAATATTTGTACATACCTCGCGATGGCAGAGTCGAGCACCTAGAAAACAAGGGACACGCAGCTAGGTCAAGACCAGCCATCATGCACATAAAAAACAACCCACAAACAGCACTGCGGCATCATTGTACATAAAGCTTGCAGCAGAGTTGTCGATTGACCGAGTTGAAGACAATACCACCTCCAGGGCAAACGGGAATGTTGATACCGTACCATACAGTACTAATGTAAGAAAAATTAGAGAATCAGTTTTGGAAATGAAACATCTGATAGCACCCATCCAATACGTCGAAGACGCAACGCAACCCAGCGCTTCAGAGATTGTCGCCTCCTAAACGGGGCACCTTCGCCGCCACTTCCATACACAAGAGCAACCATCGCGAAGAGCGAACATAGCCACGGAAACGTCGGAAGATACCCGTTGGGCACCTCGGTGTTGTATTCAGTGAACAGGACAACGCGTAAGTTGATTGATTCAATTTTTTAACTCGTTAAAAGAAATAGTAATGATACTGATCTGCCACCACGCGTTGGTGTCATTGAATTATGCAAGGACACATGCATGATGATACAATATAGATGATGACATAGCAACAGTCAGGTGACCGTGTTGTTGTTGATTGGGGCCAACTTTGTAATACCAAGTGGCTTGTTTGTTTGTTCGTTTGTCTGTCTGTCGGGATCGCTGCGTGTTGTTCAAATGTCCCCTCATTTACTCCTTAGCTAGCCTTGGCCAACCCTGCTGTCGTTGTTCAATGGATTTGGTTTTGTTGATCTTGTACTCCATGGTCTTCTCCCATTGCTTCCAGGCAAGCTTGTACAAGTCCAGTGCTGCCATGGCATCCTCATAAGGACAGTGAGGGCGTCCAACAACCTGGACATCCCTGCTCAACTTCTCCTGGCACAAATCCTTGAGCCCTCGTGGCCAGAGAACACCGTCGTCAAATCGAACTTTCATAAAGGGTTCGTATTTGGCAGTGTCACGGGTCATGTACCAAGGGTGTGTAATTCCCAGGACACGCATGTCGTTCTTGAGCCCGTGTCCTACAAGGATCTTTCCATCCAAGAGCCCCATGACTTGTTGACGGCAGGCTGTCATATCCAAGGTAGCATTATCCAACAAGTCCTTAGTGATGCCCGAGACAAATGTCCTGTAGTCTGCGACCTCACGCTCTTGATGGATGTATTCGTCCATCAAGACATCTCCATGCCAGTTGATAATAGTGACACGGGCTAATGCAGATTGCTTGCCATCCAGGCCAACTCCAACCATCTCACAGTCCAGAGCAACAAATAGGCTCTCATCTTTGGGTTGGACTTCGACACGGACTTGGCGTGGACAACGAGAGTTGTTGGCTTTCTTCTTGTTGGGGAGACTAGTACTAGTAGTGCTACTTCCTTCCGAGACTGAGCCATTGTCACTGGATGTAGAGGGAGAGCTAGCCCTTAGTTCTCTCCTGTGAGTTCGTTGACGGCGACGACGAGTACGAACTCGCTTGTGCTGATGAGGAGACTGGTCAGCCGACTGTTAAAGCAGCGAAAAAATGAGGTGAGACAATGACATCAGTGGCAGCGTGCCGACTCCCCGCGCAGCATTGTGGTTTCTTACCTGTTGGATTTCGGTAAAAGCCATGATACGATGATGATGATGTTCAGGAAGATACCCTTCGTTTTGTTATCAGATGTAGTTTATGACCAATGCAGGTAGGCACTTCTATTGATGGATGCCGATGAGTATGTAACTTTCATGCAAGATGGTGATGGGTTCTCTCCAAGGCATGCTTGTTCGTCGTGTCAAAATATGATGCCCTTTCAAATCCAAGCAAACCGCGTTGGACCGCAGTCTCCGGTGACAACCGTGACACCAAAACGAAGCGGATCTGGCCGGCCTGCTCGCCCGAACTGTGCGTACCGTACCGCGAAAACAGAAGCCTTGCGGTTCTGAAGAATGGTTCTCAACCCCCTCAAAGTGCCAGGGAAGGCCACCAACTGGCAGAATTTGGCAGTCCCGTAGCAAAAATTCGAGTCTGTCGAATAAACATTTCGATAAATCTGGCGAATGAAAATGGTAAGATTCAGTCGATTCGCTCGACTAATCTTACACAGCGTGCTGTGAAGCTGTAGGAAGGGTTCCGTTGTAAAAGCATCATTGATGGCTTATTTCTATTCGAAACCCTTTCCTTATTGCCCGGCAGACACAGCGCGGCATCGGACACAAAGAGCCTTTTGGAGGGGTGCATGTGAAAGATTGGTGTAGTCATCCGCATATCTTTCAAGCTCCTTGCCTTGGATACAGGATGACTTGGCAGCCCAGATCATTGCTCTGCCTGACAGGCTGGGCGACAGCTGAAGCTACCGTACTACGGGGGATGATTTGGCAGGTATCCCAGCTCCGTGTGCATAGCTAACATTGGTTGTACCGGTACGAATGGAGCCGAGGTGCTGATGAGCCGTTGAGGTGCTGTTCCGAATTTGCTCTGGCCAAAAAAGCAAGGATTACCCGTGTCTGAGCAGAAACTGCAGTTCTGGTGATGATGGCTCTATTCGCTCATCATCCGGAGCCACGGTTACGATCGCTAAAGTGGGTGGTACTGCCTTCAAAGAACCGTGGTACCATTGTATTGTCCATGCAGCACAGAATGTACGACTCACTCCCACCACAAGGCGAGTCCAGTGGGAGCAAACAGGATCCGTCATGGGCCAAAATCGCTCATCGTTCCCACATCAGCATGTACTCTGCTGCCCAGCCAGCTATCATACTGGTAGCCAGTGGAGATCCCGTACCACTGAAGTCCCACTTCCAATACTCGGGGCGGGATTTAAAGAAAGCACAACATGTCTGGATGGTGAGATGCTTTCGCTGTGCTACCGGTACCAGTTACCGGTAGCTAGAGCTACACTACAGTACGGTAGTACCGCATGATCTCTCTCATAGATTGCTGAGCTTTTTCTGTCGTACTTGCTGCCAAGACTCCGCCAACTTACAACTTGGCCAGCGAGAACACTGGTTGTCAGTTTCGGAGGGGAGGGCAGGGTTGCAATGACTAACCCTTCTCACTGGGCCAGCATGCTTGCGCCCTAGACGGCCTTTTGATCGTGCTTGTTCGCTTGGGCCTACTTTACCGTTGTGTCGTGTAGAATTTTCTACCAGCCCATACGCTCTATTCGTAGCATGTACCTTGGGAGTAATCCCCGTTTAGCAGTGGCAGTGCTTGGCCCAACCGATTGCTGCCTGCCTGGTTCTTTCGTGCTGACAGACACAAGATGTCACTGGTATGCCGCTTGGATGCCAGGCCACTCTTCTCTTGTGAAAATAGCGAGGAAGCTTCATGGGCCGAACCACGGCACTCGTGCTACCCGTTGACAGCTGTTGCGCTGCTTACTTTTTTCTCTCTGGGAAGCTTGGGACAAATCGCGTGAACCACATGGTCATTATTGGTCATTAATGACGCATTTTGTCAAAACAGTGTGAAATTACAGTACCAAAGGTCATTAATGAGCCAAAACCGAGTTGGTCCAAGGCACTTCCACCCCTGCCTTCTTTGGGACGGACGGAAGCTCCCTCGTGCCTTCTTGTGCCGCAGATTGGATACCCCACAGCCATTTCTCTCACAAATTTTGCACCAAGCAAATTCATTTCAACGCGCCCACCACAAAAGTTTCACATCCTGATTATTTTGCTGATCCAACTGATCCTTTCTTTCTTTCGCCTTCATCAACACTGATAGCAGACAGAAAGCTTTAGCCAAATATTTCCAACAACTTTGTGGAGCACCAACAAAACAATAATGACAGTAGACCAGGTACGTCAATGCATAGTTGGTTGAAAAAGTTCGGCACCGCGGGAAAACCCCTTGGGGATGATGATTCAGCCCAACATCCCCACTGCGGGCCGCAGCGACATGACTGCTCCATTGCCTTTACCGATTGATCTCTGACTCTTTCCTTTTTCTTACCTGCCATGCTACAGCCAACCGAACCCCAGCAAGAGCAACTTGTGGATGTTGTGCCTGAACAAGAAGATGACAACGACGATGACGCCACATCCACAGAACCTCGTCGAAAGACTCGTCGCAGCCGCCGTGGAGGATACCGACGCAAGCGCCAGCAACAAAAGAAGATTGCCGCCTTGATGGCAGAGTCTGCCGCTCGTCGCGAGGAAGGAGCCAAGCCAGCCAAGGATGACAGCTCCACCGCTACCGCCACCACCGACGGAGAGACTTCGTCCTGTGAATCCGCCGGATCTCCCGAGCGCACTGTGGCTCGCAAGAAGCGAAACAACCCACGCAAGGAGCAGCAGCAACAACAATACCAAGGGTACTACAACAGCAACAACATGATGTACAACAACCACGCCATGATGATGCCAGCAGTCCAAGCTCCGTACCAACAACAACAGTACTACGGGGCCATGCCTCAGCAACAGCAATCCGCATCTCCCAACAAGAGGGGAGGAAAGAAACGTGATTTGACCAAGCAGCAAAAGGATCTCTACGTTGCCCTCGACTGTGAAATGGTGGGCGTCGGAGAATATGGAGCCCACTCTGTCTTGGCTCGTGTTACCATGATTGACTGGTATGGCAACACCCTTATGGACGAACTCGTCAAACCCCAATGGGAGGTCACAGACTACAGGACCTTTGTCTCGGGCATTACCAAGGAAATGCTGGATGCCGCCAAGGTTGACTTTGCAACTTGCCAAAAACAAGTCCTGGCACTCTTGCACGGCAAGATCCTTGTCGGCCATGGACTCAAGTCGGACTTGAGTGTCTTGGGAATCACCCATCCATGGTACATGATTCGTGACACGGCCAAGTATGAACCCTACATGAAGATCCGCTATCAGGACGGGGGCTTGTGGCCCCGTGCTTTGAAAGATCTCTGCAAGGAAATGTTGAACCGCGATATCCAGGTACAGGGCCGTGCACACTGCCCCAAGGAAGATGCCATGGCAGCACTGGACTTGTACAAGTGTGTTTTGGAACCATGGGAAAACTCCATGGAGTACCACTGGAACAGGTCCATCACAATGCAACGCCACAGGATGGCGCGCCAACAACGTGCGGTTGTTGCCATGTAAAAAGTGCCATGCAACGGATGCATGGAACGAAAATAATGAAAGAATACATGGCTGCATAACTGAACAACATGCACACTCCATTAACTAGATAATAAAATACGCTTTTGCACAACTATGGGTGCTTGCTTCCCTCTACCAGTACTGTCATCGGGACCAGCCAACCAAGACAACGCCATCATAGGGACCGAAAACCCCGCAATCCACACGACGGCAGCATCCGCCCACGAACAGCAGCGCGGCACAGCGCAGCCGGTAAGAATCCAAGCTGTCACCCAAGAGGATCCCCCTGGCTACAGAATGTGCCATTCCCTCCTCGTTGTAGCGCTCATTTACAATAAGGTGACCGCTACCGGTCGACGGTTTTCATGCACAGCGAGCGGAAGGGACTCAGAAAGCAACAAATGTGACAAGGCCTGATGAGCTACCAACGTCAACCCGTTCTGTGGCCTGACAAATGCCGGAGCGTGTTCATCATGGAGAGCAATGAACGGTTCTTGGCAGTTTGAACCCCATCGACGACAATCGTCCCACTGGGGGTGAGCGGTGCGTACAGGCCACATTATATTGACGGTGGCGTTAATGCCATGCACCTTCTGTAGAACCTCGCCAACCTGAATAGCATCGGCTCGAACAAGGTGCTTGTGTTGGGCGGCATACCACAAGTGTTGGGGCCTCAATTCCAATACAGACGTGAATGTCTCCAAACGGACACAAGAACACTGATTGGTACCGCACATCCACCGGGGCTTGGTTTGTTCCGGAAAGCCAACTGGATCATAGCTTTCACTTCTTCCTGTGGAGGGGGCTGCCGCGGGGCCCGGCGTAGTTGATACTTGATCATGGAGCCCAGGTAGTAAATTCAGTGTGCGCAAACGAAAGAAGATCATTGACATCGTCTGCGCTATTGTGACTGCGCATACGGTAGCTACTATCCAGGTACAAAAACTGCAACCAGAACAACACCATGGCCTGCTGCATCATCAGCCAAGCCTTCGTGACCATGCAGGGCTCTCGGCGGCAAAGAGTGAATCAGTAGTACTGGAACAGTACAGATTCAGGATTCCACTATCTGCCAGACAGTTGATTGTTGCCATCCAACAGTTCGCTCCCGCATTCGTTGCGCCACAGAGCCATATCATGGTGCAACAAAAGGTAGATGGCTGGGTGCCCACGGATTGCTTCAAGCCTCGTACTACCGGTAGCTCTTGAACCATCTTATTGAACAGATCCATTCCTTGGTTTATGCAATCGCCTGGCCAATGGTCCATTCTGTAGCCCAGGGAAATCAATCAGAAACTTGGTTTGGCTATTATACCATTGTAGAAAGCAATTCGATGATTGAGTCCAACAAGAAGAAGCTCTCGGTACCGGTACCGGTACGGGAATTGACACCCCAAGATCCACGAATGAGGGTTTTCCGCAATATTATTGTGGTTATTTGGTCGAGCGACAGCCACTCGCAGCTGGCAGCTGGGAGTGGAAGGACAACACCACAACACCACTGCTAGCTGGCACAGCGGCGAAGAATCTAAGAGTGAGCAGCCTTCTGTCTCATTCTTCAGAGATGAACTTCGTGTTTCTTTCCGCGTGTCTGAGTTTGCTCGGTTCGCCGTTGCCATCATGCGATGCTTTCTCTGTACACGGAAGGGCATCAAGGAAGGCCGCTCGTCGTTATTTGTCCACAACTGCCACGGAAGATGACAATCACA